GCTATGATCTTGCCATGAACTTGCCGCAATCTTGCCATGACCTTGTGACGATCTTGGGAAACCTTGGCAAGTTCTTTTGACACCTTGGCAAGTTCCTGGAAAACCTTTGCAATATCCTGCATGTTAAAAGATCCTCTAATGTTAATAGAGGCCCTGGGTTTAAAACGGTGGCAATAACATACACCCCAGCAATATCTTTGTTACATTGAATACAATAGTAAAACTTAAAGGAAGAATTAATTGAATGTTATTGACGTTGATCTCTTGCATGATTACGTTACATGGGAGGACTGACCCCCATAACCCAGCTACAAATTTACTTTACAAATTTAATGTAAAATACTACACCTGTGTAACTTTTTTCCAGTTTTGCCATAAATCGTTTACTCTTAGCAATCTTCTCAGGTGTGACATACAATATCTTTAATCCTGAATCTTTTTTTATCATGTTACTGTGCACATTATTAACATGTTCTCTGGAACTACTAGCATTCAATAAGCTAGCTTCAATATTATATTCCCGTAGTGACATGAGTTGATCTTCCATCAGGGATACCAGAGGTGATATTACCAGTGTAAACCCAGGGGATAACAAAGCTGGGAGTTGGAATGTAAGGCTTTTACCTCCACCAGTTGGCATGATCAGAATACAGTCCAAACCTAAAATTAGGATGTAAACAGATTTAACAGTATCCACATGCGGTTACCATGCAGTGTAGCCAGTGTCTGGGCCTTCAAAATAGCCTGGAATTATGATGGTTACCAGACACTGTGTATCAGCTGCGATTTTTCTTTGACAGTAGACAAAGATTGTATAAACAGACAATTGTTTGAACTACCTATAATGAGCCCCATCATCAATAAATGGTCAGTCTTTTCCCTATCACCAGTTTTCTACAACCATGCAGGTACACTATTGAAATGCATACCATATGATTCGATAGTACCTGCGTCGAAAAAGTTGACTTTTCTATACTTTTCAAATGGGTACCTGGCATATAAGCGAGGCATTACTATCAATGAGACACGATATATAATGGGGTCACCAGTAGATTTGTAAGCTTATTTTAACGTATTGCTTGCAAGAAAATGGCTCTGAGAAGACTCTGAAATGCTCATTTCTTATAGGATATCTAAAGCGATCAATTTTCAAAAATTTTTCTGCTCTGCAATCTGCATCAACCAAGGTTGGTGGTACCTTGTGAGCCTTACGCCTGTATTCTAAAAGCTCACTCACACTCAAACTCATTGAGTGGGAGATCTTAATCTTCTCATAACGTTTCAATGGCGGTATTTCCAGCCGAACAGGGGCTTGATTTTCAGTAATTTACCTTTTATCTTTCCATCTATTCAGAAAAAACTTTCTCATTGATCAGCATTAACGAAATTTATATGTCACACTCGATGAGTATGAGTGTGAGTGAGCTTTTTGAATACAGGCGTTAGACTCTGAATGCTGAGCATGTTCTATTCCCCTGAAATTGTGAAATGTCTATCCCAGGGCTTAGGACACCTCCCATTTTCACTATGTGCACACCTGGCTGCACCTCACAAACATAAGTAGTTGTTATCATTGAGTTACAGCAACATGTTATTCCATTAACAAGGAAGAACATGGGTGTCTTAAACCAATTTACCTAAAGGTTGTTAATGAACATGGGTATGTTACAGCTACTGGTAATTTAGTTCTCACAAAATTGCCTGATGATTTGTTCTCAAGTGTGGATAGCATTGGGCAGCTCAACATTCGTCTTGTGCTTCAGATCCGATCCGATCCGATACGATATGCCTTTATGTACACACTTATGCCTTTATTTGTGTATTTAGTTAGTACTATTAGTTAGTTAATTATTGATAGAATAATTAATTTAACTTTGAACCTAATTTTCACAGTCTATATACACACAAAATCAGTTTTTCTAAATTGTGAAGTTGAGACAAACACAATATTGAGCTGAAAGTCTTTAAAATAGGCCTTTGTTCCTATGTCGGTCAATTGCAGGTTTTCCACTCCTTGCTCATTTTGGCTAACTATATTCCATAAAACTGCATGTACCTCAGTACTAAATGTTGGCGCCACTGATCAGTCCGATCCCCGTAAAGAATATTCATCGGGACGCTTCCTGACAAGACTAGTAGACAAAGGTTGGGGAAGTCTTTGTCGGTACGCCTTATAGAACATTTTTAATATTTCTAGTTTGTAACATCAGAAAATATTATAATTATTAAGCGATGTACACTGTTTGTAGTTAAAAATGCTTTTGTTGTACATAAGTAATGAAGAAAACAGGCTGGAGAATTCTAGCCTGAACCTGTTAGCTCAGTATAATTATAACAAATCGCAGCAACTTGATAAATAACATGTTAAAGTGTGCAGCCCAACCATACAGGGCTGTAGCTAGAAGCATAATAGGCTTTTCAGTAATTACGTCACAACATGATTGTTTTAAGTTTACAACCACCTTAAATGAGATGGATTCCAAATTTTTAATCTCACAAGCTATGTGCAAAGATGCAAAACATCCTTCTATAACCCATGCATGAAAAATATTTTGTTATTTTGACTAATAAGTATCGAAGTAAGCCTTAATGCAGGAACATTATTGTGTATTTTCACATTTATTGGTCAAAATAAAAAATATATTTTTCATGCATGTGTTGAAAAAGGATGTTTTGCATCTTTGCATGTGGCTCGTGAGAGTAAAACATGAAATCCATTCCATTTAAAGTGGATCTAAATTTAAAACATTGTGATGTTAAAATGTTGTGACGTAATTACCCGAAAGGTCTATTGGGGAGGAGGAGTGTATATTAATAAATTCATCTGATCTCTGACTGATTTCTTTTGTATGCTATTGTTCCTGCAGTACATAAACATGAATATATGAATAAGCAGTCTAGCTATGGCCCTGCAAGCCCAACATTCTTTAGTGACTTCAGTCCTGTTTTTATCATTTGCTACAAAGGTATGGTTTCCACAATTCAGGAATTTCAAATCTTCAAAATTTAAAAAATTTCTTTGTCTCTTTTGTCATTGCTAACCCTCTAGCGAGGACAGTCTTATGCAAATAAGTTGTGGAAACCCTGCACATAAGAAGCATAGCTGAATTTTCAGTCAATACGACAGTGGTCGGTGGAATTATTAAAACCTTCAAAGACAGCTATACTGGGTGTCCCTAAACCACCCAAACTATTAAAATCAGCTGTTGGTAATATTTGAATGCCTATAAATAAGTTTGTGCACATTAATGCAACTTATAAAGTGCTAATTACAAACAAAGTTTAAATTTTCTGGACATGTTGAAGGTCATGGTGCTTGAGTTGTAAATATACAAATATCCATATTTATATTAGTAAAGTGTAAATATTGTTAATAAAGATCATTTGTGCGTACAAGCAAATTTGACAGTTATTATGTGTAAAAATGCCTATGTCAAACATTTATACACTTGTGGGTGCCAACAGGGTGCTTAGGCATTCAACTCTATTATATATTCACATTGTAATGGTGATTTAAAACTCTAAGGTTTTTTGTTTTTGGGGGGACAGCCTGTATACCAAACTTCAAATTTGAGATGTTGTATATCATTACCTGACATGGTAACATTCATACATTCAATCTGCAATGGCCGAAATTCGTCAATATGAAAAACTTTCTCCCTCAAATCCTCAAGTTGCTCAGACCATTCAAAATTCCTTAGCGACCAGTCCTTCCTTTCGGATTCCAAAAATACCTCATTCTCATTTAGTTGCCTCTCTAAATGTTCCTTTCTGCTATTCAATTCTTCTTGTCTTTTTAATAACACTTCAATTTGGAGCTCTATTTGTTCAAGTTCATTGTCAATTTTTGAGATTTCTGAACAAACTCCTGATGCTCCCTCCATATTTACTATTTGGTTTTGGCATGATACTTCACGTAAGAAAAATATAGATTGAAGATAATGTTAAGATTCGACAGGGCGTCCCCAAGCACCCCCGCGCGCTCGCGTTTTTTCAGCTGAACTCTATATAAGACCTGAATGCAACGTTATATATTTTAAAGCGCCTGGGTACGAGGCTGGCCGATAGCGCAGGAAATCTAGACGTCTGTCGTTCGAGAAAATACGTACAGGTAATCTAATGCTGGATTCTCGTCTTGTCTTGTTTGATATACTCACTCTACATACACTAGCACACACTGATCGTGGTAAACCTACACTAAACGGGTTTACAGACAACGATCACATGAATCATGAAAGCCTTGTATGCCATGAAAGCCTTGACCTTGTATGCTATGAAAGCCTTGTATGCAATTCTATGCCATTTTTCAATCAAACCGCACCTTCCCTTCAAGGGTAAAAACGGCCAGAACGATCCTATTGAATTTCAGTACAAACAGATTCCTAGAGTACCTGATTCCAAACTCAGCCTTATTCACGTATATTGTTAGCTACATCTGCCTAGCACCAATAATGCAGTTTTACCCCTATATTCTGTACGAAGGGCTCTATTTACTAGAAACCCTAAGAAAGAAACATTTTCTAAAGGAATAAATATATTGACAGGAAATGCGGCACAGTTGCATGCAACGATTGACGCGACGCAGTTAACGCTAGAATAGGCGTCTTGTTATTTTTATATAGTTAGGTTCGGAATGTCTTTTTTCAAATTTTGGGACTGATTTTCGAAAACTGTCGAAAACTGTTTGTCGTGAAGTGAAAGCCAATCTTATAATACTATATAACACATAACTCTAGTCCATAAAATATATCGCCTAAATGATACGACTTTAATGAGCCGATCAACAGTGCGTAACCCCGGACGTTTCCGCTTCTTTCGGCACTCTGAAGATCTCCGCGCAAACACATCATGCATGATACGCTATATAGACGGTTGCAATTACCAAGTATGTCGCACAAACCTGAAAGACCTCCTTTTATTATGTGTTTCGAACGTAAACAAAGTTTATCGGCTTTTGAACCTAATATTGTACTTAAGAATGCATGTGATATTATGCGAAACTTATATAGTGGTAGTAGTAATTATCATAATGGCAGTGACTATTGACATGCGACTGCCGACTGACCCCACAATTCGACATTAAAAACGACGAAACACAGAATGCTACTAGGTTTGTATTTCTGTGGCTCACAATTTGCCTGTTATTGCAAAGTCTCTTGAGTAAAGACCATTCAGCTTTGAAACCCTATAAGTCGAAGGCTAAAGAGGTCTGTTCACACGATCCAGCTTTGTCGGATCCTATCCACGTCTCATGGACCGACAAAGTTAGATCGTATCATCAGGTCTTAAGATGGAGCCATGGAGGTCTACACGATAATTATATGGATATCATATTGTTGAAGCAACTATATGCAGTACGTAAAAGCTGCTCAGTAAATTATGCTGTTAGTAGCACTTTACTGAGTAAAAACTTTTTAATGCATGCATGTCACTCGCCAATTTTAAGCCGGTTTTCACCGAAGTGTTGAAGTGGCGGTTTGCTCCGGCAGTAAGACAATTGCGATGAATGATAGCGATACAATCGCAATATTAAACACAGTTCCATTAAAATACTCTTTGGTAAACCATGTCTCGAAGATGAACGGTCCTGCGATTGTCCCGAGACGGCCCACAGCTGCACAAGCGCCTGTTCCCATGCTACGAATTTCCGTGGGATAAACACGTGATGCAAAGACTAGCAGGAGAGATATAGCTGATGCAAGCAGGCTTCTTGATATCATTATGACTACGAGTAATAGAATCCTCTGGTTTACGACGAACAAAGCGACGATCTGTAAAACAAGTGTACACAACGTGACTGTTAACAGTACTCTTTTAACCGTAAAAACGTAACAAACCAAAGCGGTTGCGATGATGATAACAAACTCTGGTACGTTCATCCAGACCATGATGGCATACATATGACGGGTTACTGTTTCCATGTTTTGCAAATCTTTTGTCGCAGATGTATAATTTTGACTACCGGCGACGTCAGATGCGGTGTATATCAAATCATAGTGCGATTGGTAGATGTTGAAAAACGCGATACACGCGCATATTGTAATTTTCAAATAGCCTGTTCGAAATAACTGCGTAAAATCCGCCCTCTGTGTCTCGGGACCGTGACTCCGTAGTTTTTCATCGGTGAAATCCATTTCAGGCGCCAAATCTTGGAGAATATTTAGAGCTTTTTGCTCTTCCCCGGCTGCAAGGTAAAAATGTGGCGATTCAGGAAGAAATATAATACTACCAATGAGGAAAATTGCGCTTGGAAAACACACGGTAGCCAGAGCCCAATGATAACCAATCACCGAGAGCTCCATGGAAACGACGGCCGAAAGCAGAAATCCTAAAGTCCAGAAGACGATTAATAAAACAGAAAACATAGCGCGGCATCTGGTGGGAAATAATTCCACTACCATGACAAAACATTGAACTAAAATGCTCGTTCCAAATCCGATGAAGAAAAGGCCTATCCACAGCCAGTAATAGCTCGTTGAAAACACACTCACAAAAGCGGACACAAGTATGAACGCTGCAAATGCAATAAAAGAAGGCTTTCTGCCATATTTATCCGACACCCAACCGCAAAACGTCGCTCCTATTATCTTTCCGGCAGGTGATGACATTGTTAATACCCCAGCACTAATTGCAGGAATGTTCCAGTCCGATTTTAAACGTGGTAGTATAGCAGATAGCATAGCTGTTCCTAGGCCACATGTCATAACTAGGAGGGAAAGGAATGCGAATAATTCCCAATGAAAAAACCTCAATCCTATATCATCCAGAATCTCGTCGATTAGTCGAGATTTCAAAAGATGGGCGTTCGAATCCATGACCTCTTCGTCTGCGGCTGAGTAAATGCCTTTGTCCTTTACACCTCGTCCGGCTTTTAGCTCCTTGTGATCTGATGAACTTTGCGCTGTAGAAAGGAGCGGCGCAGTTGCTAAGAATCCTTTAAATTTCGTCCAAAGCTGCTCCATTTTCAACCGTGTTGACGAGTGTACTTCAATCTGTATTGTTGACGAGTGTACTTCAATCTGTATGGAAAAGAATGATACCGGGTTCAAGTGACAAGCAAAAGTTATGACTTCCGAAATATCGCATTTCCGCATGCGTTTTGCAATCATGAACAAACAGACGTGTCATTGTTACGATAAATATCTTAATAAGCGCCGCGGTTTATTTAGCCGCGCTGGGGAAGCCCTTTTTTTAAAGCAGGGCTCCTATGATGTAGAAAACCAGCAAACCAACAGCCGTTAACACGATTGAGAACTTTATCACAGTGCATATAATTAAAAAATAATTATATATCTTTGACAACCGGGCTCTATAGCAGTTTAAATTTCTCTTCCTTAATTAATTCATCCCCGTCTAACACTTGTGCACGCATTATAAACCATGTGTAAATTTGTATGCTTTAAACTGAACGGGAACCGCCAGCCCAACTTTGCGCTTACTTTTCCTAACCCTAACTCTACCCCGAAAATTGTTCCATATAGACGTGTCTGTTGTACGTTCTCCTTTTCTTTGCTATGAAATAGGCGCCGCTGTCAGATAGACTTGGGGGGGGGGGCAAGGGGTCAACAACGTCCGCCTCTCGTACCCATTCTTTGGCCTATAACGGCGGTAACGTGGTTGCGATATTGAGCTGGTCTAAGATGATTTACAGTCGTAATGAAAACAAACGCTTCGTTTACATTTTCAAATAAATGAAGTAAATCGCATCACGCCACATTCCCAAGCACGTTCATCGAAGAAACTCATCCTCTACACATGATTGCTCTATGCATTTCAAAAAATATGTTCTATATTATATTGTCTTGGACGACATGAATATTTATAAAATAATCAAAAGTCTTATAAGTTATATAAGCAGCCATCGGGCTGCTTCAAGTAAATTTTCTCCTGCATTTTCCCTTCGGCAAGAAGACAGTTTTGAGATCCATCGATCTGGTGAATTTTTTAACTTACTTAATCGTTTCAAACGTCGAACTTATGATGTGCCGTAATTAAAATTTTTATGTTCGGCACATGAAAAGTTCGAATTTTGAAAAGGAGTAATAATTATTAATTGTACGGTGGCGTAAAGCAATCGCTGGTGCATGACTTTCCGTCCATCAGCCATTCGTGGCTCCACTTTGCTCCACTAATATTGGCTGACTTGCCAATTCACGACTTGCGTCTACACAAAGCAATCTTCACTTACGTATTTGAATAAAGAATCCAAAAATTCATAATAACATAATAATAGAATTATCCCCGAGCCGGTGCGAAGCACCGTGCGAGGGTACTAATTCCGCCCGGAGATTAGGAATTACACCCGGAACCCGGGAGAACATAGCGGAATCCAAAGTCGCCCAAATGTCATGGACGTTCAATGGTCATGGTACTTGTGCGCACGCGCAAAATTTGAACGAGTGACGACTGGTAATTAGCAACTTGCTTATTGGCTAAGACGAAACGTTCGTGTTTCAGTGAAAAACGTTAGCAATTTAACTGTCATTTTGCAAACTTTTTTTTTGAAAAAATATTTCGAAAACACAATATGAAATGTGGAATCAAATAACAGATAAAACACTGGGAAGAGTTTAAAATATTATCAGAACTTGAAGAATTAGCGGTGAAAAGGAACAACTGGTTTATAATCCTTGAAATGGTAGGAGTCTATTTTGTTTATTTCGAGGTTTCTTTCGTGTTTGCTGTACGAATACATTTTATGAGCTTGGTACAGTGTGTCGTTTTGCTCGGTTTTGCGAAGACGTGACCGACTATTTAAGGCTTTACTTCATCGTTTTAACTCAAAAAGAGTTCTTAAAAGTGTATTTTGGAGTTTTAATATAGCAAATATCACTCTAAAGGTTTATAGAGTCGACTGCAATCACTGCATGAATTTAAAAATCGAAAAACAGCATTCGACGTTCACTGCTTGGTTATTTATATTATTTGTGCTGTTTTAATGTTTTGAAGGTTTAGATATGATGGAGTATTAACTCTCACTTAAACTGTGAAAGTCTATAACTTAATGCAACGGAAAGCAGCAGGTAAACGGGTGATTTCACTTCACCTTTACGACTGTATTTGTTTCCGAAAAATTTGAAACATCAGCTATCGGCTTTACATTTAGGACATTTCATAATATTGAAGGTTAGGTCTGGCTAGCTCAGGAAATATTTTGCTTCGTTTGAAATGGCGAGGGGTTGCTGCATGCATGTATTTCTAGTATAGGCTGCCTATACCATGTCCGTGGATAGTAATTTTTTTTCCTTATAATTATATCTTTGCGACGTTTAGTCCTTGTGCTACATGTTTGATATTTTGATGGTTTAGTCAAACACTTATCATCATATTTATAATTATATAAACTGTAAAAGTCTATAAACTGCCTTGTTATATAATGCAACAGGAAAATGGGTGATTTTTACTTTACCTTAACTTAACTTAACGACTGTGTTTGTTCCCAAAAATTTGAAACATGAGCTGTATAGCTATATCAGCGTATTTGAGTCATTGCATAAAATTAGCTTTAAGCTTAACCTTCTTGTATGAAAATATTAAAAGCATCTGTCTCATCAACACCAGCGTCATTAAGCAACGTTTTCAACGAGCATTTCCTATTGGTGATTTTCATACTCATGCAGGTATAATCTTTTCCTCAAAACGCATGCGTCATTTCGCTATTGAAACCGTAACATTGCTGCTTCGGTTGCGATCTCGCAATGTTCATGCAACCACAGTCATCATATGACGATGTCAATGGACAAACGGTGAAGACTTTAATTAGGGCTGCTTTCCACTTACGGGTTTTTCATATACATATACATGCAAAAGTCTATATCCTTATATCAAAGGTAGCCCGCTAAAAGGCGCGCACGCCTTAGTAAGTATTATATATGCATGTATATTGTTTTAATAAGGTTGGTGTACTTCTCACGGACCGAACTATAATTCAGTGCAGTTGTACTGAGTCGCACGAGATATATAGGTGGTGCACTGATATTTCGAACTTGATAGAATAGAATAAGCAAGCAATGCGTACACAGACAGTTAAAATTGATTATACGATGAAGGTATATGCTAAATTATTTTTATTTTAATCAGTTTGCAGTTTCAGTATAAATTGTACAGTGAATAGCTGCTTTCTGAGGAGTGCAATTTTGTCATTTTTAAACGATGAAAATTCAAGTGAAAATCGCAATGAAAAATTGAAATATCGGTATCGATTTTGATATCGGTATCGACTAAAATATATGCCGGGTATCGGGACTCGTATCGTATCGAACAGGAAAAGCTGGTATCGGCCATCACTAGTAATAATATAATCTATATCTGTAATTCTCGATATATTTCGATATTCGAACGTTATTTAAACTTCCCTGCATTTGTAATTCGGCTTCTAAGCACATGGAAGGAAACATACGGGACAAAAGTTTGCTTGGACAGTACGCTCCACTAATCCTTAAAAATCCCCCAAATTATATATACCAAAGGCGGAGCGTTGTTCTTACCTCTTCATGAACATTGGGCATATTTTTTTATGTGCATCGGTGTGCTCGGATGTGATCAGCCATTCCTCACCATTTCTAAACGTCTCTTCAGCTTCGTCTGTAAATTATCTCAAAGATCGCACATGCATGCAATGCTTTCTATAAACATATAAATTATATGACATTCGTATTGATTCACACTGGAAAAACACTGGAATGATAACTGTGGCCGCCGATTAAGTGAAGCCACGAAATGTCATTGCAACGTCATTGCATTCGTCATCAATTCCGACATAATCATTTAAACGAAGGGTCGAGAATATCTCTCTAAAAGGAATGTTTTGTTTTCGAATGTTTTGTTTTTTTTCGTTTAATTTATAAAGAAATACTATGCAGTGGTTGATAGGACTATATCCAACTTTCGTACAACCAGCCCAAACTACTGTACTACACGATCTTCCAAATCGCCTTTGCAAACTAGCCCTGTCTGTCGGACAGATTCAACAATCAAGGTAGCCTTCAAACAGATGTGAAATTGAATTTACTCACTAATTCAGACAAAAAGTGAAACAATGCATGATTTATTGTTATTATTATTATTATTAAGTCTTTACATATCGTTGTTATATTGTATACAATTTAATAACACAAATATATATATAGATACATCTAAAGTAATAATTCACTCAGCTGTAGAAATTATTCAGTACAAATTCATGTCAAAATGTCAAATATATTGTGAGTTGACGCACTCACCAAACACTTCAATGCTTTATTTAATGAATATTTTAACTTTATTTTGATGATTAGTATTATTAAAAGTCAGTATGACTGTAACAACATTGTTCGGCCATTTCTTTAACCATCCAACAAGAGACAACCTGTTGGGATTTGACTTTTTGCTTGTAGTGGATCTAGAGTTGATGTGCATGCATGCATGTAAAATATTGTCCACTTTTTGAATGTTTAGGGTCTTTTAAATTCTGTATAATCACATATAACATACAGATGGCACGTGTCAAGCTTTAGACAGTCGTAGGCCTAAAGGGGTTCCATTTTTCATACATTTTCCTTCTTTAAATCATTTCATAAAACCTTTTGAATCTAATTTGTTATGATATTGTTTTAACAATATTTAAGTACACTACTGAAAAGGTCCAAACTCCAAATAATATACCTATAATATATATAAGAATACCAATTTAAAGCTCAAGTGAACATTTGTCAAATCCTAGCTCAGTTTTCACATAGTTGCATGGTTACAGTAATGCATGCATAGTACTTATACATTCCACTTTTTTCAACTAATTTTAAATATTAATATTGTGCAATAGTACTTGAACATTAATCTTATCACAAAGTGTTGAAAGGGAAGATATGCCTTTGCATAATTATGATAATAATTTATGTAGTTAGATAGGCTTATATAATTATTATAAAAATTTTATTACTGGTTGTTATATGGTATTAATTTTGTTACGGTATAGTGTTTTCCATAGGTGGATAATTTTAAGGTAAAGTATGAATCTCCAACACATTTTAACGACCATAG